GTTGACCACACACTATTGTTCAGGGTTTAGGACTTGCCGCCAAAGTCTTCCTTTTGGTGTTAAGGGCAAGTTTCGGGTTTATTACCAGCCAACCATGTATTTTGAGGGATTCCAGCGGGCATGCTTTCTATGGGTGTCATGTTTCGCAGGCAACTTCTTCATTTTCTTTCAAGGTTTGGGCTTGCCGCCTATCTCCTTTCCAGTGTTTCGGGTTTCTGTAGTTGTGTGCTGGTCCTGCTGGATTCCGAACCAACACGCTCAGGGTTCTTCCGTTGGGGTTCGGCCCCTGTTCGGGTTTAGGGGTTTGCCCCTTCTTGGGTTAAGGGCAAGTTTCGGGTCAACTGCCATCTGTTTTGAGGCTTTAGCATTGAGCAGCCAGCATTTCCTTGTTGAAGCAAGGTTTCAAGTTTGGTTGAGAACACTTCCTTTCATTATGGCTTGCCGCCCGTCAGCTGTGTAGGGTTTGGGTTTCTCAATCCGAGACACCTGATCTCCGTTTCGCTCCTGCCAATCATCTCCCGTGCATGGCTCGCCATTCGTCATGTTTTTCCAGTGTGGTGGGTTTCTCAATGCGCTCCGTGTAGATTTTGATTTGTTTTTTTGAAGGGTCGAGGGGTTGCTAAAAAGTCATTTCCGTTGAGGGTGTCAGGTTGACCACACACTATTGTTCAGGGTTTAGGACTTGCCGCCAAAGTCTTCCTTTTGGTGTTAAGGGCAAGTTTCGGGTTTATTACCAGCCAACCATGTATTTTGAGGGATTCCAGCGGGCATGCTTTCTATGGGTGTCACGTTTCGCAGGCAACTTCTTCATTTTCTTTCAAGGTTTGTGCTTGCCGCCTATCTCCTTTCCAGTGTTTCGGGTTTCTGTAGTTGTGTGCTGGTCCTGTTGGATTCCCAACCTGGTTCTCATCAGCCTGCATCGCTTTCAGGGGCTAGGGGTTGCAGCTCGTCATTTCGGTTCGGTGTTCAAAGTTGCCCAGACACAGGTTTGCGTTTAGGGCTTGGGTGTTTCCCACTGAAATGCACGTTTTAGGGTTCAGGGCGTTTTGCCAGTCAACATGGCTTTATTTAGTACTGGGCTGCCAGTTTGGGTGGGCAACAGCTCCTTTCATTATGGCTTGCCAGGTGAGCCTTTTAGGGTGTGGGTTTTTCAATCCGAGACACCTGATCTCCGTTTCGCTCTCGCCAATCATCTCCCGTGCGTGGCTCGTCATTCTCAATGCTCTCAGTTTAGATTTTTTCAGATGTTAGGTGGCGCATCAAGGTTCGGCCTTCCCACTCATCAGATCAATGTAGGACCTAACTCCGAACATCTCGCTTTGAAAGCTTTGGGCATGGTTTGTCAAGTTTCACCAATGGCGTGCATAGGCATTCCCCGAGAGTTTATGCTCCAAATGTGCACGACATCTATCAATTTGCATGCTAGCTACGTGTGTAAGCATTGTATATACCGCGACTTAAGAATCGTCAGAATGTGATTTTGTTTGTCTTTCTGCTGGTCGTGCTCTTTTTGTAATGATGCACTGCACCTTTCTCTGAGGTGCCGCTGTTTGGGACTGTGTGCTGGTCGGCGTGATCGTTGCGCAACTGATCGATTTGGCAGCCATTCCCCTCCTGGTTGCCAGCACAGCTTTTGCCATATTTGAACAAGGCGGCCGTGTGTACCTTACCTGATTGTGGCTTGAGGCTGGTATCGACAGTGGCCACTACCTGCCGCTGGCAGTGCTTCTGTACCATGCAATCGCCTTCGCTTTTTGTGGCATCTACGATTTGCTGAGTCATCGCCTCACAGTCATCAAGCGAGCATCATGGGCACGTTGGAGTTTGCTGAGCAGATGGCAGCCACGCTGAGGTCAGCAAGGGAGCGGCCGAGCTCGCACACTGCACCGTGTGTTGGTTTCCAGGCGAGTCTTGCGCAGACCTCGGCAAAGATCTGATACTCAGGAGATGAGACGACCATCAGAGTCACCCGAGGCTGGAACTTGCCGGCGGTGCCTCCGGAACCAAGCTCTACTTGGGCCGCATCTGCTTTATAGTGCTTGTCCAAGTTCAGTCTGTGGATGTGTGTTGTGTCTGCGGGTGTTGGATTTTGTGTCTGCATGCCAGAAGCAGCAACGGTTCAGGTCAGTGGAGGTGCGATGTGGCTTGCGCTACGAGTGCTGCTTCTGATTGGCGAGGAGACTCTGGTGCCCCGAAATTTCAGCAGACAAGAGTGTCATGGCTGGACACTAGCTGGACTTCACAACTTGTTGAGTTGAAGGATAGCACGGCTGAGCAAGTTCACTCACATGCGCCAACCAACAACATGCTGACAGAAGCAGAAGGAATCGTCGCAATGGTTCGTCCTACCAAAAAGACATGAAGTAAGGTTCCTATTGTAGCTTGTGCTGAGTGTATACAGGGATCCTCAAGCAGTATAGTCGTAAACAACACAGCACGAGTGAATAAAGACAATGAAATGTACATCTGAAGATGTGTGCTCGCGTGAAAGCAGCACGATTCGCGGCATGATGCATAAGCGAGCCAAACAAGCACAACGTTGAGAGTTTTTGAATTGCCGATCGTTGTGCATGTGATATCTCCATCACCACTCCCAGAAAATTTTTTGCGGTGCGTGGCCACTCTCAGCTGGTTTTGGGTCGAGGAGTTCAGTCTCGTGGGGGATCATGATGACGAGGGCGTGGGGATTTCGGATGAAAGGATTTGGGGCAAGCTCCGGAGTTCATGGGACGCGGAAACAGGATCAAGCAAGACCAAGACGAGCAGACAGGTACACAGAGCCCCAGCTCATTCCAGACGGCTCCACAACCCGAAAGTCGACTCACCGCAAAAAGCGGGTTTTCTGTGGTTGGATGGATGCCGCAGTTGGCACACTCTGCTCTTGTTTCCTTTCGGTATGGTCTTGATTCTTGATCGTGCGGGTGAGGCGGTCTGCATGGGTTTCCGATGCATCTGTTGTGCTAGATTTAGCATGCCTTAAAGTAGGTACCATCTTGCTGACCCACGCGGGTTCGCTTGCTACAAAGCTATTGCAGAGAGCAGACTCTGTCCAGTACTAGATGGTCGTGAGTGATTTCTTGGTGCTCACATCCCTGACTTCTCCAGCTTTTATAGTTCCCTTTCACCGCCTGCGTTTGCTATGCACTTGATGATCTCTGCCAGTGCACATCAGGCAGAGATGCTACACTGTTGCTGTAAGTTAAGGATTCTGCAAGATCAGTTGTCTCTTGCTGAGTTTCCGAGATGATCTGAACAGTATCGTGAAGAAGGGTCTGTGCTGCTGTGCCTAGACCAGATCCCTCGACAACTTTGCAACAAGTGTCCGGGCAATCGCCTCTTGCAAGGTCATACAATATCATCTTCTCTCCCATGTTGTGCCGAGATGAAGTCTTTTTCGATTCGGCATTGAATTATTTCCCACAGAATACCCAGCTGCTTACGGCCACGTCCAGCGACACGAAGCAGGCCTCGTCATCACAGACATGCACTGACGCCCGGCATCGTATCGGATGGACCAGGATACAGCAAAACTGGAAAACACGCACCCACACAGTTTCTTTTGTTTGCAGTCAGAAACCGTGAAGCTTGTGAATACAAGTTCTGTACTCCTTGTGACTAGACAACCAGCACAAAGGCTTCGGGGGGATCCGCCCCGGGCCCTGGCCCCGTCGTCGCAAGGCAGCAGACATGCGAGTGAGAACCTTCAAGACAGCACCTAGTCTGGAAGCATCATCTCACGAGCTGGAGTTGATCAAGGCAAATCAGGACCCTTACATCGTGTTGATGGGTTCATGAGCGCGTCTGATTCCAGCTTTTGCCCAGGACATGTCGCAGGCAGTTGCATTTTCTCCCACGAGTCGGGCATCCGACGACAGATTCATCTAGCTGATCCGTGACATTTTCTTCACTCGCCATCTAATTAGTCGTACCTGGTAGCACTTGCACGCCCGACGAGTTGGAGGTACTAACGTGCTTCATTATCCTCCTGTTTGTGGCCTACTGTGCGGCTGGATTGGCAGCGCGAGTCTCCCAGAGCTCGGAAAATTGGACGTGTATAGAGCCATCAATTCTCAAGGCTGGAACCCCGCCGAAGTCTTCCCGGACATCTCGTGCAGTGGCTTTGCACTGGATGGGGTGCTCGAGAGGCTTTGCTTCAGGCCCCTGAGTGCCTTCCGCGCTTGGTTTCGGCTTTCAGAGCGCACAGTACCGAGAGTTCCGGAGCGAGGTGGTCCCTTGCCTAGGGCAGCCAGACTGTATTTGCGAGATTGAAGCTGATCGTTGACTCTGTCGTTTATCGCGAAGCCCTGTTGCTGAGTCGGGACTGGTGTCCAAGCCGTAGGGTTTGTTTGGTCAAGCAGTCAGGTCGAGGGGCTTGTGACACGGCATGCCGTTTTGTTGCCGGGCTCGCACTGATCAGACGAAACTCGATACTGCAATTCGCAACAGGCGAAGCCACAAGCTAAAGGAGGCCTTGTCATCACAGGTCTGTCAGCACGAGAATCGTACGAAGATCTGGTCCAGTGGGCGCAGAAGCAGACAGTGCTGAACAGACCCACGAAGGCATCAAGCTGCACGAGGTTAGTTGGTGAGCTCTTTTGCAGATTACTAGTCCCCTTCGACACGACTTGAATCCCGAGATCGCAGATTAAAATTCTGTCTGTAGGCAACCACGGAAGGAAGCGTGGCTCCATCAGGGCTTAGGAGAAGCAGGAGGTGCTTCAAAAATCTCGATAACTCATGCCAACAGAGACCTGAGATGAGCATGTGCATGAGTTCCGCAAAAATCAATTCGGACGGATACATCTTGCGCGGACTCATTGAAGCACTGAGCCAGGGTCCTTTGAAGATCCTCGGTGGTTTACTGATGCTACCTTTCGCTGCGTCGGTCTTGCCGGCTTTTTGTTCCATTTTTGCACCACAGGATGAACGAATAAGGACATCACCTTGGCAGGTCATTGCTGCGCAAATTTGGTTGCGCACCATCTCCTTCATCGTCTGGTTGGCGCCTTCCTCAGAGTCCAAGCTCCAACTCCACAGCATGGAAGTCCCACGCGTCTCAGGCAGTCGCGTGCCCGTGCTGCCGTCTGCAGAGAGCGGACAACGTCTTCGATGCCTTCGAGCGAGAGCTGGCTATTCCCCTTCTTCAGTGCTCTTTCCTGGCCTTCTCCTGCACATTAGCAGGATTGGCCCTCACCTCAGTCTGGCAATGTCTGGCTGGTGCTGTGGTTGTGGCATGTTGTGGCAGCTTGCGAGGCCTTGGAGGGGGAGCTCTCCAGCTTTCAGCGCATGTCTGTGGGGATTGCAGCGACCTACTACACCATCATGCTGTTGATCTGGACTGCACCAGCAGTTTTACAAGCCAAGGCTGGACTGGTCCGGAAAGCTGTGGAAATGCTCAGCAAGCACAGCTTTTGAATTCGAACTCAGGTGGCTGCTGAGGAAGTGTACGACGCTAATTCTTTGCTTGTTGCCCAGTTTTTTTGCGTCACTGAGCTCCAGCAAATCAGAACAGTCCTGGCATTCTTCATTGACTCGGAGCTGCCCCAGGCAAAAAGCCCGTTGCGCTTGACATTTAGTTCGCAATATTTTCTGCTCTCATTTGTCCCTTGATGGGTTGATCATGCTCGCTGCGTTCTGAGTGTAAGTGTCGGCACCAATTGACACTGAATTGGATGCCGATTACTTGGATAGCTTGGAATGTGCACGGCAAGTTGTGCAGACTCACACATCACAAGAATGGCATTTGGTGGGTGGGGGATGTGTGTCCCGAGTTGGCGCACAAAGCTCGCAGACGGACCAGCACCGGTCGTATTGCATTGGGCAGCCTTCGAAGTCTCAGCAGAAGATGGTCCTGCTGATGCTTCGGACATGGGCCGTCGCCTGCACCCATGCTTTCTGCTCCCTGCTTCCCAGGCTCGGAGAAGAAGGTGCTGCGCAGCTTTTGGAGCCCCGGCCTGAGCTGCGGGCCGATTTTTGGCGCTCTTTTACTCAAGCTAATGGAGCTTGAGGCGAGCAGGAGATGGAGAGGTGGAGCTTGAGGCCAGTCCGGTTTATGCCGAAACTTGAAAAGAGCAGTTTTCATTTGGTTGGCTGCAGAAGCAATCAGACTTGGTAGATCAAGGATCGCTCTGTGCGTTAGTTGGTTTCGTGCCACGCAACAAAACAGACGAGAGCATGACAAGCTCAATGCTGGCACATGATGGAACCGGACATCAGCCAACAGTGCTGTAAAGTTGTTAGTTGCACGCGGTTGCTCACGACCTGGCATGCGGCACTCTGTGTTGCTGCCGAAATTGCACCACCTGTTTCACTCTGCTTGGATTTCCGTTCTGCCCTGTGCTCATGATGATCACGCCAAATCCGTCGATCATCGCCGAACTTGCACCCAAGAAGACCCGAGAAGATCTGAGATCTGGACTGGATTGAGCAAGCTGTCCTGGCGACTTGATCAGGGAAAGACGGTGCACATAAGCCTTCCTGGCACTTGCCGATCACCGGTCACAGCCCGGTGAGGTTTGCAGCCACTTCCTACGGCAATGCCGGGCCAATCCCAGCTTGCCGCTTTTCGTGCTGACAGTGCCTTGCTGTGTATGTCCTGTCTTCCAAGAGCTGACAGGACCTGCGGAGCACTTGTGATGAGCTGAAAGCTCTGGTCCAACGTGAACGGCATGATCATGCTGTGGAGGTCTTTCGGAAAGGTCTTGGTTGTGCATTTGGCCGTAATGTGACCGGCCTGACTGCGAGCAGGTGGGACAGCTCGTTGCAAAACTTCGAGATCAAGAGGTCATTTCGAGAAGTTCTGAGAAGAGCAAGGCAGCACTTCATCTGAAGCTGCAGCTGAGTGTGCTGCTCTTGCATGATTGCCTGGAGGCACAACTCCTTTCTGAAGTGGAGGAGTGGCGTGAAAGGCCGAAAGTCTTTGTAAACGAAGCTTCTTCCTGTGCTGCATCTGCGGCGTCGCTGGAAGGTGCAGTGAGCTCAAGAAGCAGCTGGCCCTCTCATCACGTCCTGATTTACCCAGGCCTGCTCAGCATGGGCCTGTCGGAGACCGCTTGGCTGCCGCATGCTGCCGCTTTGAAGAAGCCTCGGCAAGGATAAAGTGGCCGATCCACACAGCTGGTGCGGATGATGCAGGCTCAGCCGGCTCAGCTTCAGACCGCTGATATCATCATGAGAAGATTTTCCAAACCAGGAGCTTCCGCTTCTGGATCGCAGCCATCGTCGGAGTCTTAGTGTCTCTGCGACTTGAGAGTATCGTGTGCCGTGTGCGGCCATTCTATACCTGAGCCTTAGAGGCTAAGATGCTTGTGGCTTATTCCGCTTTCTGAGAGGACAACCCCGGATCAGCAAGAAGCCCTTCACGGAACGCAGAGCCCTGGTGGTGCCTCCGGCGTGTCTCGTCGATCAGCACAGTCGCGATGGTCATCGTTTGTTACGGCAGTGCACATCTGAGGTTGCCCTTGAGCCGGTCTCAAGCAACGACGAAAGTTCGGAAGTCGAGCGCGCGGGTGGGCGGCCAAACTTGCAACATCTGGCAACTCTCCATCAGACTTGGATTGCTGAGCTTTACTGAGCAGTTCCAGGTGACTCCCCCTGCAGCCACGAGGGTTCAGAGGCTCAACGCTTCTGCCACAAGCCTCAAGGAAAAGCGTGCCCTCCAGGACGCTGAGAACGAAGCCAGCGCCGACGGTCCTCCCGCACGAAGGAACGGCTGCAGAGCTGGGTTTGTGCGTAAAGCAGCCGCATGTTCTGCGGTTCAGTGTTTCTCATGTCATGTTGGAGCAGTGAAATTAGTGTCACAGCCGGAAAGAGCTTCTGCTGGTTCTGCAGAATCAGTTTGCGCGTTTGCCAATCCTCAACATCTGCGACGTGCATCGCCAGCCCTTCCAACCATCCGAAATTCTTCCTGAGGAACAAGCTCAAACCAGGAACATGTGAGGGAAAAAGCTCGAGTTCACACAGCGCACTTTTCCCGTGTAAATTAGGTCAGTTCGTTTAAATGCGAACGCCTGCTAGGCCATCATCAGATGATGGTGGCAGCCTGAGCTAGGCAGCAGCTACACGCTCGCCCTCACACGCGCTTGTCCGCAGGCCAGCAGCAGCATCACAGTGCATCGCACGAGGCATCTCGGCACCAGAATTTCAAGCACAGCTGTCTAGGGTGAGCACCTCCAAAAACTGTGGCAGCAGGTCACTCCGGCACCGTCTGGGGTTTCGCCACACGCGGAGCGGCATGCCCAAATTGCAAGTTTGCTTTTGGCATGCGGTTGCGCAGATGACATGGATGAGGTCTGCTGCTGAAGATGTCCTCTCAGCCGGTGAGGTCCACACCCTGGAGCTTCTCAAAAGCAGGGGAGATTCTGAAAGAATTCCTTGCTTGTCAGGACACGAGTGGAACAGATGCAGCTCTGAGCGATGCGGATGGTCCCCATCCAGCGTCGGATGTTCCAAGTGCGAAGCGTGAGCACTCCGAGAAGGAAGCTGCTTAGCGCCTGTAGCAAATTGCTCGGTGCTGGTACCATGTGTCACTGGACTCATCCACAAGGGTTGAGCTCTCGGGGAAGCGCTTCCCCTGTTAATGTGCAGCAGTTGCGTCTGCTCGAACGAAGACGTGCTTATCGCTTGTGCCAGCTCGTGTGAAGGCATGTGTTGCAAGTAGAGCTTGGGATTGCAGGTCGCGTGACAGGTCTCTGCAATTCGAATCTTTGCTGTTGCTCAAGAGCTTAGCTCAATCTAAGTTTGCTTTGCCCTGGGCAGGCATACATCCTGCCAAAATGAAGCATTTTTCGGAGATGATTGCTGTGTTGATGGCCTTGTTGCCCTGGGGCGCCCTGGGTGATCAGAGTCGAAGGCTCTCCACCCATCGCGTGAGCTCACAGGCTTCGTCATCTGCCGCCAGCGAGTTACAGCAAATTCTTCAGGATGGAAAGATGAGCATTCCATTAAGTCTGCAAGCTATTCAGACGACCCTGGTAAAGATGGGACAGGAGGCTAGCAACAGCAGTGCCGTGACAACTGCTGATTTCGCAAAGAGCATTGAGCCTTTGCTGTATTCTATGCAAAACACAATTCGCAGTCAAAACAACTTGACTCAGCAGACCTTGGACAATTCCTGGGCAAGCTTCACAGCTTGCAGCTTTGACTTTGGAGGCCCGGCTGGCTTCGAAGATTTGACAGCGCTCGAAAACTCTCACAAGACGTGCAGAGTCGATGAGGGCATTCAGAAAACGGGGCTGGACTCCTGCAGAATCATTCAGGGAAACAAGGAGTCTGCGCTTGTCGACGCCAAGAAGGACTTTCATGGCGATGAAGCCAGTGGCACCAAGGGGAAGAATGTTCTTCCCGAAGCCAGTACTTGTGACTTCGAGCAAACAGGTGCAGCTTGGAGCTCCCCCAAGGAGTACTTGGAATACTTTGAGAACCACTTTGGCACCTTGCTGAGCGACTGGCGAGCCTCCCGTGATGCTGTAGTCAAAGCGCAAAATGAGACCAATACTCAGACAGCCCTTTGTGACTCCAAGGAGGTAAAGTGGAATGGTCAGAAGACAGATTGTGCCCAGTTTCAAAAAGCGCTGGAAACCGCAGCATGTGACATCTTGACCCACAACACTGCCTGCAGGAGTTATACGGGTTGCTACAACAGAGAGTGGCATTCCTATGGGGAGACCGAGAAGCTTACGAAGACACAGGAGGCCGAGCAAAAGGCTGAAATGATGGGGACGCTCAAGATCCTCTGCATGATCCGTGTCTTTGGACAGCCGGACTTGACTGCAAGGATCAACCGCTGCCTGCAGGCTGACTATGCAGCTAGTACAGATGTGACAAACCTGCACATTACGTACTACCCGAGCTCCAAAACTCCAATGCCGACTGATCAAAGAGGTACCTGTGCAGCGGCCAGCAAAGCCTCAATGATTCCAGGCACAAAGGCCTTTGAGAACACGCACTATGGTGGTCTGCCAACGAATGCAGGCTTTTCAGACTGTTCTGCCTCGTGCTGTGGATATTCGGAGCCGACTTGCCAGAAGTATGGCTGCAGCACCAAGTACGTAAAGACCCAGCTCTGCCAGTGCAATGCAGAATGTGAGGTGCACGGAGACTGCTGCTGGGACTACTACGATAAATGCAATGTCGTTTCGAAGGAGTACAACATCGTGCTCAACGAGGTCGCCTTTAGCGGTGTGGCTGGTACCTGTGAAGGTGCGGACTGGGTGGAGCTCTACAATGCTGGGCATGTGATGAAGGACATCAAGGGATGGACATTGTCAGTGGAGAAACCTGATCCCCAAAATCCAGGTTCAACCGTTCAGTACGACGTTGCCTTCGACACTAGTCAAACAATCGAGCCTGCACGTTCACTAGTGGTTTGTGCGAAGCCCGGAGGGCTGTCTGATGCCACACTCCCGAACATTGAAGTTGAGTTCGAGAAGGGCAACAAGATTACTTGGAGTGACAAGGACGGCAGCGTTATATCTGCAACTACGATCTCGGACACCGCAGCTGACGACAAGACTTGGTCTCGTCTGGCTGACGGTGAATATGCAGTGAAAGATCCAACTCCCGGGTCTAAGAACAAATAAGGGAGCGGTCGGAGACATGATATCGACGGCTTGACGGCTTGACCGGTTGCCGAGCTATTCGGATGAAAACCATGTGGCTCTGTTCATTTGACTGATATAGATTATAGAATCTCAATTGAATAAACATTCTTTCACAAATTCATATTTACCACCAATATGAACTTATCCATTTGCAAGACTGATTCATCATCTATTATTGACTTTAAATCTCCTTTTTAGATATTGAATTCTGGAATTGAATATTGAATCTGTTTCTGGTATTAGAACCAAGAGTTTCTAGGTAGCCTTAGGGGTGGTCACCCGTGATAATTTCCAGATAAGGTTTTAATACGATTCGGAAACGATTTGAGGATAGGTTCGGTCTATCGGGCTATGGTATCGATACGGTTCAGATACAGGAATCGATAGGGTTTGGGAAACCGATTTTTGGCTCTTGTCCAAACAAAAATAGAGATTTGGATATAATTTAGATACGAATCTCCCGCCGTTCTCTCGGATACGAGGGTTTAGACGTTGTACTCGCAATCGTGATGAAAAGCGTATTCGAAATTGTATTGGAATCCGCCGAAATCGTATTGAATTCGTATTGTTTCTGGACGAGAGTATATATCGCTCCCGGCATTAAAATCGTATCTGAATCGTACTAGAATTATATATCTCGAAATACGGCATAAGCTAATCTTATCCTTGAATCGCATCGATATCTCTATCTAAACTCTAAAGCAAAAATAATCTTCGATCGTGCCCTGAGGCTGGATTAGAATCTCTTGATATGAGAAACTTTTATTTCAATAAATTAAAAATAGATAAAAGAATCTATATATTTAGAAGATTGATTTAGGAAAGAGAGAGAAGAAATCCTGGCCTATAGCCCTGCCGAAAGAAAGAAAATAGAAAGATATCTTATTTATATAGGCAGCAATCTTGAGAACAAATATGATTGATGACCGCGGGGATCTCGAAAGAGTATATAAATCTGAAATCTATTTATACAATTCTGAGATCTGCTCTGATGATTGATCCTTGATTTAAATAGGAGGATCCACTATATTACCTCTCAAAATAACCGAATCGTCGACAGGATGCTCCCCGCGCCGGCAGTCTAAAATCTCGCAGGACTCGCGGCTACGCGTACGCGTGCGGGGGGGGACTGACAACCGTCAGCGAGAGAGAGAGAGAGAGAAAGAGGGGCGTTCAACCCATGTATAGGGCCATTTCGCCCCCAAATCTTAGTTTCTTCTCAACTCATTTGTAAGCCCAATGAGAATTCGAGGGATGCTGGAGCCTCAATTCGATTTCTTTCCACCAGTAGGCAAACCAAAACCTGCTTAATGAAGCGGAGGGAAATAGCACGTTTTTGGCCTAGCACCCCAATCCTTTGACAGAGTTCCCCGCCGACTCGCGCCCTGGCCTTAGTTGTGTTACAGTACTTTGTTTTGTAAGTGCATTTATACTGCCGTCGATTGGGGAACTCTTTTCCTTGTCGTATAACACCGAGCCTGGGGGGGAAACCCCCCACCAGGAACTTCCAAGCCAGCCAAGGACCGCGGCTGCGCGCTCGCGTGCGGGGGACTCCCAGCACTCCGGGCAGACTCCGAGCCCGCCCAAGAATTTCGAGCTACCAACAGCCCCATTGGCACGCTCCAAAGTGAAGAATTCTGAGCTACTGTATGGCCGCAAATGGCCCCAGCAAGTGCTGTGTGGGGAGGCTGGGTCCCCCCTCCCTAGAGAGAGGCGCCAACCACCAATGAGGGGGGTCTAAGGGAGGCTGGGCAGTAGGGGAGCCAGTCCTAGCAACCAAACGCATGGCAGCCTCAGCAGTGCCATAGCAGAGTTCCCTGGCATGGCACCAGTCAGTGCCCCCGATCCATTGAAAGGCCTGCGCGCAGGAGTTGAGATAACAGACATTGTGCGGATTTTGAGGCTTCAGATCTCGAGAAGAAGACGCTGCAGCGGGCGCCGAACCCCCAATCCAAAAGCGCGCAGCAAGCAGAGCCAAGTCCAGTGTCGAAAGCACGGCTCAGGTCAATGCCGACCATCTCACCTCTATAACACGTGCTAGAGGTTTGCTCCGGCGCACACTGTGCGCACCTGCGCGTAGTCTGCTGCGGACATTCTTGCAGAACTGGCTCCCGATAGATCTCCTTCGTCGAAGCGGAGTTGCATGGAGGAGGTCCGGCAGGTTTGGGGTGGGGCGTGCCCCTTATTTCGAACTCCATGGCATCCGTCACAGCGCCGGAGGGACGGCGAGGAGCCGGACGACCGCACACAAGGAACTGGTCGACGAAAGAATGGGAGAAAGATCAGGTCGCCCAAAGCTCCGGCATCGATCGTCCGACAACAATTATGTTGCAAGCCCTCACCAAGATGGCTATAGCACGAGGAGGAATTGACGAGGACTCGTGTCGACACGAACTTCATGATGTTCATCGATGTGGATGGCGATCACACAGTGCTCTGCACCCTGTAGACAACAGCAGCGGCCTGACAGGAAGCTTTCAGTGCTGGCCGCGTGAACACATCCCTACGGATCGCACATTTCTGGAAATGATGCAGCAGCTGCAAACCAAGCTCCAGAAGATCTTCTAGAGTCAGGAGCAGCTCGAGCGCTTGATGGCGGTTGGCTGGCTGCAGCGGTCCACGGCGTTGACATCTAATTATTACAGGTGGGACGCAGCCACCCAGGCACAGGTGGTTTCGGACCAGTCGCCATTGTCACACGACAGTGTGCTTCAATACACTTCAGAAGTGTGCGAGATTCGCTCACGCATTAAACCAAGCGCCATGGCCCAGCACAAGCCGGCCAAGTGGCGCGCTAGAGATTGGCGATGCGGCATCTGGGATCTCCTGTTCAGCGGCGGGACCCGCAACCTCCCCTGCGGCGAAGAGCCCCACGGGGAGTGGGGAGACGAAGGTGTCTCCCCTGACGTCCCGCCTACTGGCGATGCTGCTTTGACTGCTGCACCAACAGCTAATGTCTCGGAGACTGCTGTTCCGTTATTTCTGATTCTTTCCGGCAACAGCTTGATAGGCAGTGGCGCGAAATTTTCTCGCATGAGTCTTTTCGAAACGGCCTGCTTACTATGTATTCTGTGGACAATGGCTTGCCATGGCGGAACTCTGGCAACAGAAGTCTGCTGCTGAAGCACTTTGCTCTATTGATTTGCTCTTACAGTAGGCAAACTGAGGATACTCAGTGAGAATATGGCCGACCTATTCAACTGCCCAATCGAGACACGCAAAAAATGCTTCTCCACCTCCATACCAAGTGCCACCCATGCACCAAGACTCTCGCTCCGGCCCTGCAAAAAGCACGTGAACGTGCCTGGCTGTAGGTGAATCAATCCGAATCACTGTTTCGCCCCCGAAGTGGAGGCTCTCAATTCCGGTACCCGCCAGGTCTAGAGGATTATTTGCTTGCCCACATTGCTGTACATTGCAATGAGATTCTATCGCAGGAATTGGGACCTGCGCGGCTTGTCGTTTTCCAGAACTCCAGGGCAGATGCTTGCAAAAATCACAAATCAGGACCAGAAATAGCGCGACATTTCAAGAAGAAGGCCCTATGCATCCGGAGGGGCTTGACCTGTCCCGAATCCCACGGCCCGTAGAGAGAGAGAGAGAGAGAGAGGGGGGGGGTGTGTAGGGTTCGTTTAGGGTTTAGGGTTTTAGGGTTTAGGGTTCTTTTGGGGTTTAGGGTTTAGGGTTATAGGGGTGGTTTTAAAGTTGAGGGTTTAGGGTTTGGGGTTTTGGGATTTTAGGGTTTAGGGTTTGAGGGTTTAGGCTTAGTAGAAGTCGTTCGTTTACAAGCCCTAGCTCACTTGGCAATGACGATTAATGTCAAACAGGGGGAGCTGGGGCACAGTCGCAGCAAAGCTGCCGAAGCTTCTTAAGCAGCAGTTATGGACCCAATCACCTTTCTCGCACTCCGTAAGTGGAAGGGTTGTTAGATGCTGTTGAGATCCTTTGCTGCAAGAGAAGCCAGGGAGCTAGAACAAGGTACGGTGCAAGAAGTGTCACCTCAGCTAGTCTTTTTCATGGTTGGTTGAGTTTGATATTCTGTGTTTTTTTTATTTTACCTGGAAACCCGAGAGTAGTCGTAAGCTTGCCAAGGTTCAGGGCGGGGTGGGAAGGTGGCAGGCAGTGCTGTGCAAGGTTTCCGTTCGGTGTCAGGCGGGGAGGCAGGTGAGCTTGGTTTTGCATAATTTAAATTTCAACGAAGAGGGGGGACCTCGCACACCGCTGAGTTGTTGCCTTTGTATCTGCTGTGTATTTTCTTACCGAGCGGCAGCGAGCCCAGCAGATGGGGGAGTGGAACTCCACCACTCTGACGGAAACCAGTGCTTTCCCCCTCATGTTGTCTTAATACGTGTAATTCAATTGAGGGGAAGAGTACTGCACTGACTCTCTTTGGAATGCCGGCGGATGACCTGAGTGATACCTACGGGGCTGTATATTAGTTACTGGCTTAGCAGGGGTGTTTTCGGGGGGGTGAAGCAAGGTCCACTCAGGGGAACGTGGCATCTACCCTAAAACGGGGCGTACACGACAGACGCGCGCCGAGGGGGTAGGCCTCCGGGCCAGGGTTCTTTCGGGAGCCCACACCTCAAGCAAGCAAGCAAGCAAGCAAGCAAGCAAGCAAGCAAGCAAGCAAGCCAGCAAGCGAGCAAGCGAGCAAGCCAGCGAGCAAGCGAGCAAGCAAGCAAGCAAGCAAGCAAGCAAGCGAGGGGGGGGGGGGCAGTCGCCGTGAGATAGAGAGAAAAAATAAGCTTAATTTCGGAAGGAAAGTTAGCGCACTTTTCAATATATGGGGGTTCCATTTCAGTCGCTGTTTTTGTATAAGCGAGTCTTATACGGCAACAATCCAGAGGGTGGCTTACCTACGAATCGTGGGCGCGCGCTCGCGCGGAATACGAGCTTACATCGCTTTATATTCTCCAAAATAAGAAATCTTTCTTTTCTTAACGGATTTTCTAAGATGGCTATTTTTCTAGAACTAC